TCTCCCCAATGGCGATGTTTACACAACGCAGCAGGTACTCGTTTGAGACTGAGTTGACCAAGGGGAGGCCCAGGACCGGTTCAGATAATCGTCACTGGTGTTGGGCGTGAGCGGGAATCGAACTCGGATCGTCGGGTTCGTAGCGCAGCGCGCTAACTGCTAAACCACCGCTCCCCACATATGCACACACAGACAGACATGCACACGCAAACACAGACAAGAATACATAAGCATGTTTTTACAAATTCACCGTGGCATACACACAGGGACAAGCACACTGACACACATTCTCTCTCTCACGCACTCATACATATACGCATACATATACCGTACTACAAATGATAATGCTGCCATCTGTTGACGATTCGCTCTGCGATGTAGGGGGCTGTAACCGTGGCCTCGTGCTAGCGAGTTCTCCCCTTGTTGCAGAAGTTCACGGTTCAATGCCAGCGGCCGCCCTGGTCATGACTGTGGGTGTATGAACAAAAACTAAAATACGCGCCATCTGCTTCACACTGGACGCTAACAATCCGGGGGCGTCGTTCGCACGAGTTATGCCATCGTGTTGCGGAGTCGCGGTCCAAATGTGCCACGTTTTACCAAAATGTACGCTGAAAAACTATTGATTTGCAATATACCTACAAATAGTCATCGTCGTTCCCTCCGTGAAGACTTAGCAGGAGCCTCCTGGAAAAGAGTCACAGGACTACTGAGTGAGTGTTTTTTTTTGTTCCAGGGTAACGAGCATGATACTGAGAGTACAACCTGCATAGGCAGGCGCTGCGGTGGTGAGATGTTTACTACCTCGCCTGGTATACAGAAGACTGTGGGTTCGATCTCGACTCTGACGCCTGCTGTATATTTTGTGTTTGCATGTCTCTCTCCCCGTGGTCGTGTGGATTTTTCTCCGGGTCCTCCGATTTTTCCATCCACATTTAGAATCAACACCATGCGTTGAGAGTATTTGGCTGCTATTCTTTACCACATGATGATAAGCCACTGCATTGGGCTATCATTTGTGTTTGCCTGGTCGCTTCTGAAAAAAAGAGCTACATCGCTTAGTGGGGCCTTACCTGGTAAGACATAAATAGTCATAGTTGAAGTAGTTTAGTGTTGCCCTACGAATGGGGAACACAGCTCTCTGAGACTCCCTCGGGAACTGTCCAAGAGCCGCTGCCTCTTCTGAAGAGTCGAGTCCAGAGGTGGTTTGGGTGGGAGGGTGGGGTTACGGGGATCAGAAGGAAAGGGATATGCTGGGATGTGGGGGTGGCGTGTGGTTAGGGTGGGGAGGGTGGTGGTGGTGGTGGTTCTGAGTAGTCGGATTCAGAGATGGTCGGGGTAGCGGTGGCGGTGTGTAGACGGGGGGGGGGGGGGCGGGGTAGGGGGGATGAGAGGAGCTGCAGGGCGATTGGTGCTCCTCGCGTTTGACTGATGCTGCTGCACGCGATGTTTGAGTGCAATTTGACCTCAAAGTCATCCGTAACCATTTACGCGACCCGCGAAGCCTCCTTCGCCCGTGCAGAGACGTTTCTAATATCAGGGGGAGGGGAAGGGGGGGGCGGTGGGGGGGGAGGTGGCACGTGGCGAGCAGACGAAAAACGTGGCCGTGTAATCGGTCTGGTTCACGTGAGAGTGCTGGCCGGGTGATGGTGGATGATGATGATGGTGGTGGTGGATGATGATGGTGATTATGACTTTGGACAAACGGCCAGTGGGCAATGTATGGCCATTTCAACTCCCTATGAAGACCCGCACAGCGCCTTTCATGCAGCAGTGCATTGCGAAAGGGCTGGAATTTTTTAGTTTTTATTAAAGAATGATTTGGCTGGCGTTCACATGTTTGACCTATTTGCAAATGCACGAACACGTGTTTGCGAGTGTTCGGCACGTGCGGTGGTGACGCAGTGGTTAGTGCACTGAGCTATGAACCCGGCGATCCGAGTTCGATTCATGCTCACGGCCAGCATCGGTGATACATATTTTCACCGGTCCTGGGCCTTCCCTAGGTCAACTCAGCCTTTAATGAGTACCTGGTGCGGTGTGTAACAATCAGCACTGGGGAGACAAAGGCGGCCGGGCGTGGTTCTGGCCATCCACCCCCTCGTGTGCCGTGTTGGCCTTTATTGAGTGCTTGTCAAGAGCACTTGTCCCCAAACAGTCTGTTGGAGTCTATACGGGGGATCTTTGTATTTTGTTTGGCACGTCACGATTCGAGGTGATGGGTGCGCTTCAATAACGTCTCGTGCTACGGTGCGTTCTGTCTTCTGTCAGGTTCGCTTCGTCAGTCTAAACGCGACGTTGTCATTTTCCTTCATAGCGCATACAGCTGCGCGGTAAATCGATTCTTACACAGATTAGCGTTAGATTTGCGTTAGACCGTGCTTGTGAAGCGTTCCATGTCAACCTGCCATTACAATCAACTGCGTGAGAGCGACTCGCGTGCGTTCTGTCGCTGTCAGAAGGGCTAGAAACAGAACAAAATGTGCAAAATAAATAAGTCGATTACTGCTGAAACATTTACAACAACCCCATGTAATCAAATTTAAGCTCCCAAAAATTACTGCGCGGGGATTGACTGTTACCCGTTGATGAGCGAGGGCACTGAACCTTAATCTGTCTCGGGATAAACGTGAACGAGTGAGCGGATGAACCAAGTCATACTCCTCCAGCGGAGTGTGGTGGTACGAAAGCTAATGGAATATGAGCCGTGATTTAGCTGTCGAACAATACAAGGGAATATCAAACTATTCAAGACAGAATAACTTTGCTGTCACTGACAGCAAAAAACTAATCTCAACATTCCGGATAACTGGAAATTTATCAGGATACTTCTTGAAGAACGCCAGTCATCCTGAGAAAGGCCGTTTGGCCGAAACGTCGAGATGTCTATCTTCTCGCGATGACAACCCTATGTTATTTATTTTCTCTACGCGCTTTCCTTTCCATACTTTCAATGACGTTTGAACTTTCACCTGGCATATACGTATCGGGGAAATTGTCCGTAATTTCACGCGTGAAGTCCTTCAAAAGGCTAAATTCCCCCTTCCACGGACGCAATCGCACGAACGCAACTGTCCTCGTGAACGCACAAGAAAACACGCACTCATGTACACAAGAAAAATATGAAAAAAATATCCCCCGTACAGAATGAACAGACTTTTGGGGGCAAGGCAAGTGCTGTGAGCGAGCAGCACCGATGAAGGGCGGCACCGCACACGAGGAGTTGGGTGGCCAGGAACTACCCACGGTCGCCTTTGTCTCAATAGCGGCGATGTTTTACACACCGCATCGGGTACTCATTTGAGACCGAGTCGATCTAGGGGAGGGCCCAGGACCGGTTCAGATAATCGTTACTGGTGTTGGTGGTGGCCGTGAGCGGGAATGGAACGCGGGCTCGCCGGGTTCGCAACGCAGCTGCGCTAACCGCCACACTACCGCTCCCCACATATACTGTAAATGCACACATACGCACATACACACACACATAGAGAGATACACACAAATCATTTTGATAAACATAATCAAGGACGGACACGGTACAATTATGATGCGTTGCGTGTGAGCGCTGCGCATAAATGTGTGTGGTTACAGACGCACGCGTGTGCGTATCGTAAGGTGACACACGTTACACATCACACGTCACCCCCCCCCGCTCTCCCTCCCTACGTCTCTCTCTCTGACACCCAGCAAATCATAAACACGCGCGCGCCATCACACACACACTCATGCTGGTTTTGCAAAAGGTTGCGCACTCTCACTCAGACGCACGAAAGACAAAGATCCACCGTATAGCCTTTAACAGACTGTTGTGGCAAGTGCTGTTCAGAGCGGCTCGGCACGAAAAAGGGGTGGGAAGGTGGGTGGCCAGCACCAAGCCCGGTACCGAGTGCTGCTGTTTACGCACCGCACCAGGTGCCCATTCATTTGAGGCTGAGTTGACCTAGGGGAGATCGAGCACTGGTTAACATATTCGCCACTGTGTCTAGTCGTGAGCGAGAATCGAACTCGTGTCGCGGGGATCGTAGGGCAGTGCACTAACCAGGACACGATCGCTCACCACAAGACAAAGTGAAAAATCCCCCGTACATATAGCCTCAACAGAGTTTTGGGGCAAGTGCTGCTAACGAGCACCTAAAAAGGCCGGCACGGCACACGAGGGGTGGGTGGCCAGAGCCACACCCGGTCTCCTTTGTCTACCAAATGGTGATGTTTGCACACCGCACCAGGTACACATTCGTGGCTGAGTCGACTTAGTGGGAAGCCAGGAACCGTTTTCAGATAATCATCACTGCTGTTGTCCGTGAGCTGGAATCGAACTCGGGTCGCCGGGTTCGTACCGCAGCGCGTTAACCACTACACTACCAATACCCGGCATTCGCAACTAAGTGACGGTGATGTCACGACGGTGCTTGTGCCAGGCCAGGTGCACTTTTAGGCCACGTGAAGAATCGAAGGCTCACTGACAGAAGGTTACGGGACAGACCCAGGTGCCATGGCTTGATTGACATGAGACCACTGGCAGATGCACCATCTGTGCCCCCCCTCCCCCTTTTACTGTGCCAACTCGCTGCATTTTAGCCGCCCGTTGCGTTGTGAGCGTCGCTCCTCTACCCTCCGTCGTTATTGCTGGAGGGCGACTGCCTCCAACCGCCCAGGAGCAGCGTCCTCCACAGAGGCCGACCTTGACCACCACTACAAAGATCCCCCATATAGCCGTTACAGACTTTGGGGCAAGTGCTGTTAGCGAGCACCTATGCAGGATGGCGCGGCACACGAGGGGGTGGGGTGGCCAGCACCATGCCCGGCCGCCTTTGTATCTCCAGTGGCGATGTTTACACACCGTGCCAGGTAATAATTTGAGGCTGAGTCGACCTAGGGGAGGCCCAGGACCGGTTCAGATAATCGTCACTGGGTGTTGGCCGTGTCGCTGGGTTCGTAGCATTGCGCGCTAACCGCTACACCACCGCTCCCCACTACCCCCCCCCCCTACCCACCCACAGGGCCGTGGGCAGCCCTCTCGTCATGGACCCCAACAGCATCTGCCGCAAGACGAAGCGACTCGCAGGCAAGCAGGCGGAGCTGTGCGTCACGGCGCCCAACGTCGTCGCCGAGGTGGCGAAGGGGGCCAAGCTGGCGCTCAAGGAATGCCAGCACCAGTTCCGATTCCGCCGGTGGAACTGCACCGTCACCAATAAGTACTTCGGCAAGATCCTGCAGCAGGGTGTGTGTGTGTGCTTCCGTGGCGTGCGTGTGATGCAGCGTGGCACTCTCCCTGCCTCTCCCCTCTCATCTCAGTCTACTCCCCTCCACGCACTCTCCTACCTCTCCCCTCTCATCTCACTCTACTCCCCTCCACGCACTCTCCTACCTCTCCCCTCTCATCTCACTCTACTCCCCTCCACGCACTCTCCTCCCTCTCCCCTCTCATCTCACTCTACTCCCACCCACGCACTCTCCTACCTCTCCCATCTCATCTCCCTCTACTCCCCTCCACGCACTCTCCTCCCTCTCCCCTCTCATCTCACTCTACTCCCCTCCACGCACTCTCCATGCCTCTCCCCTCTCATCTCACCCTACTCCCCTCCACGCACTCTCCTACCTCACCCGAGCCAGTCGAGGTTGCTGGCCACACGATCCACTGGTGCGCCGTGACGACCTTAATAGGTGCTCACTAACAACACCTGCCACAGCAAGTCTGTGAAAGGCTACATGGGGGATATTTGTCTTTGTGTGTGTCAGCAGTGTGGGGGCGCGGTAGGGTAGCAATTTTATCTCGCTCCGCTACGACCCGCTCACGGCCAACACCGGTGACGATTATCTGACGCTGCGCCTCCCCTAGGTCGATTCGGCCTCAAATGAATACCTGGTGCGATGTGTAAACATCGCCACTCGGGTTACAAACATCGCCACGAGAGAGACAAAGGCGTCCGCGCTTGGTGCTGGCCACCCACCCCCTCGCGTGTCGTTCCGACACTTCGTAGGTGCTCGCTATCAGCACTTGCCCCAACAGTTTGTTGAGATTGTACGGGGGATCTTTGTCTTAATCGTGGCAGCATGGCGCACGGAGAGATAGCGCGCACAACGCCTCATACGGTGCAAGCTTCGGCGTATACACAGCTTAAGTCTATAGAGTATACAAGGTACGTGTGAGTATATATATATATTTACGTATGACGTAACCTTTGCCGTTTTGGCGAGCACATTTAGCTCGCGTAAATAAATACAAAATGTAAATGCAGGTCACACCATTATCATCGTCCTCAGCCATGATCAATGCACTGCTGGATCCACTGCTTTCGCGATCCAGAGATATAGAACAATTATGTAACGACTATTTCTCGCTGTGGTCGACAGATTTCGAGGTCACGGCAACAACACGTCATTAGGCTAACGTTTCGGGCAATGGCCCATTTTCAGAGCAGAGTTATTCCTGGGATCGGACGTCCGACCGAAGCATTCGTGTCGTTCTTGTCGAGACACGTGCCCCACGTCGTAGTTTACATCACTGTACAGCCAGCCTTGGGCACTCCACTGCTGGATGAAATCATGCGCGCGCCACGTTGCCCATGGCGTTTGCATGTTTGTATGTTGAACTTCTTTCGCAACGCACATAGCGAACCGCGCTCATCGGACGTGCGTGGGAAAGACGACAAACTAACACACACACACAAAAACAGTTATAAAGAAATGAGTTTTCAATTTGGACCACACCTCACCGCGCTAGTCAGTGAGGACTTAGTTGAGGGAGGGGAGGGGGTGCATGAAAACGCTTAGCATTTTGTGACCGCTTCCCCAATATATTTTTTTTGGGGGGGGCGAGTTTGGCGAGATGTTAACTGCTTCGCCTACTATGGTATAATCGGAGTCTGCGTGTCTCTCTCCCCGTGGTCGCGTGGGTGTTTCTCCGGGTGCGTCGGGTTTTTCCCTCCACATTTTTGCAAGCACGCGTTTAGAGTATTTGGCTGCGACACATTGTCAGGCGACGATAAGCCACTTCGTTGAGCTCTCATTTGTGTCCAGGTCGCATTTGAACAAAAAAATAGCGACATTGCTCAGCGCGAATTTACCTGGTTTAAAAAAAAATAATAATTTAACGTCCAGTTGAGTTTAGATATGACACCGATACAACATTGCAATGGGCACGTTGTATACAGCTTTAAGACGCCGTATGAAAGTGGTCCAAAAAGCGTTCAGTTGACGTCGGCACAGGGGCATTTAGCACTTGCCAGCGCAAAGAAGCCAGCAGCATTGTGGAAATTGATAAATCGTGGATAACTCCGTAAACAGTCCGAGCAGCACTTTCAAACAGTGCCAGGCGATACGTGATCCCGACGAGAAGTCCCAGAGTAGGCGCTCACACACGCGCACAAAAAGACAAAGGACACGCGTGTAGCCTTGTAACAAGACTGTTGGGGGCAAGTGCTGTTAGCGAGTAGCACTCATGAAAGTTGGCGCGGCACACGAGGGGGTGGGTGGCCAGCACCACGCCCGGCCGCCTTTGTCTCCCCCCGTGGCGATATTTTTACACATCGCACCAGGCACTAATTTGAGGCCGAGTCGACCTAGGGGAGGCCCAGGACCGGTTAAGATAATCGTTACTGGTGTTGGTGGTGGCCGTGAGCGGGAATCGAACTGAGGTCGCCGGGTTCATAGCGCAGCACGCTAACCATTGCGCCACCGCTCGCCTATGCACACACGCATACACACAAATACAAAGATCCCCCGTATAGCTTAAACAGACTTTTGAGGCAAGTGCGGTTAGCGAGCACCTATGAAGGCCGGCACGGCACACGAGGGGGTGGGTGGCCACCACCACGCCCGGCCCCCTTTGTCTCCCCAGGACAGCGCGATAACCGCTACACTACCACACATACACACGTTCACACACACACGACCACACGCACACACTAACACACACATACACGCTCACGCACACACTACCACACACACACACGCTCACACACACACTACCACACACGCACACACTACCACACACACACACGCTCACACACACACTACCACACATACACACACGCTCACACACACACTACCACACACACACACACGCTCACACACACACTACCACACACGCACACACTACCACACACACACACGCTCACACACACACTACCACACACACACACACGCTCACACACACTACCAAACACACACACGCTCACACACACACTACCACACACGCACACACTGCCACACACACACACGCTCACACACACACACTACCACACACACACACGCTCACACACACACGACCACAAACACACACGCTCACACACACACACTACCACACACACACACGCTCACACACACTACCACACACACACGCTCACACACACACTACCACACACACACACACACGCTCACACACACACTACCACACACACACGCTCATACACATACTACCACAAACACACACGTTCACACACTACCACACACACACACGCTCACACACACTACCACACACACACGCTCAAACACACACTACCACACACACTCACACACACACGACCACACACACACATGCTCAAACACACACTACCACACACACACACGCTCACACACACACACACGCTCACACACACACACGCTCACACACACACACACGCTCACACACACACACGCTCACACACACACACACGCTCACACACACACACGCTCCACGTCTGCTTCAAGTGAGGGTAAAGACGTCATCAGGGCCAATGCTGTTGATGCCACCACACGTCGTGACCGCTCTTTCCTGCTGGGCAGATCGCATGGCATTGCGCAATGCTTCATCTACTTAAGGCTGGCCTTACACTCGCATAATAATCGTCTGCCTCTGGTTGCAGTTGGCAAGTTCTAAAAGAGGCACGAATCACAGTCTCATCATCACCAGCTGGCGGCTTTAGGTTTCCTCACTTGTGTCAACACAGTTGACATGTCCGTCAATAATCACTCTCACTGTCTATCATCATCATCATCAGCAGCAGCAGCAAAAACATCATCATCTGCAGCAGCAACAATATTAGCAGCAGCAGCAGCAACATCAGCGGTAACTGCAGTTAGGTCTTTCCCCTCGATCGACGACTGCACAGGTGTCCCACCCATCTCAACCTCCTTCTTCATGACACTTTTCTGCCACGTTGCAATCCCAAACTTCCACGCCACTTCCTCCACATGCGCACTTTTGTACCCAAAGGCCCCAGAAGCTTAATTTCCAGTCGCTCTATTAAAGTATCCGCCCCAGAAGCGAACGCGGTGAACTTACTCCTTGCCTCGAACATCTGTCTCCGAAATATTGCAGTTGACCTTTCTAATGTTTCAAAGCGGTTCGTGCAGTTCATAAAGGACGCGCCTTTCAATATATTTTATTTTAAGCCATGCCTCAGAATATAGCTGGAGGAATGTTCAATCAGAGTGCGTTTTAAGTGAAGGAGAAAAAAAGTGTCTGTGGTGAACAGCTGAAGTTCAACAGGGTCCCGAATTTGGATGTTTGGCTAATTCTATGAATGGGAGGTGGGTTTCATGTGGGAGGGCATCGGATGGCACGGGGAATATTCACCACACTTACGAGGGCGGTCCCCCAAAGATGCGTTTAAGAATGCATTGTTCGTAAAACGAAACTATTTTTTTTTTATTTTTCCAGGTAAGGCCCACTAAGCTATATAGCACTTTTTTTTAGAAACGACCTCGCCACAAATGATAACTGAACGAAGTGGCTTATCATGTAGAAATGTATAGCGGCCAAATACTCTAAACGCTTCATGTTGATTCTGAATGTGGAGGGCAAAAACCCGGAGGACACGAAGAAAAATCCACGTGGCCACGGTGAGAAAATAGAAACTCCAAATACAGTGAGGGAAAAAAGTATTTGATCCCCTGCTGATTTTGTACGTTTGCCCACTGACAAAGAAATGATCAGTCTATAATTTTAATGGTAGGTTTATTTGAACAGTGAGAGACAGAATAACAACAAAAAAATCCAGAAAAACGCATGTCAAAAATGTTATTAATCGATTTGCATTTTAATGAGGGAAATAAGTATTTGACACCCTCTCAATCAGAAAGATTTCTGGCTCCCAGGTGTCTTTTATACAGGTAACGAGCTGAGATTAGGAGCACACTCTTAAAGGAAGTGCTCCTAATCTCAGCTTGTTACCTGTATAAAAGACACCTGTCCACAGAAGCAAGCAATCAATCAGATTCCAAGCCGACAACACCTGCTGTTCCTTTGCAGTCTGCCTACCCAAGTGTTTACCAGGTTAAAAACATTAGCTTAGCTTCCGAGTTATGGTTGTAAACTAAGACAGCATCTGGGTGCATTTGAGTGTTTGAACAATGAAACTAATCTTTTTAACACGCAACACATATATACATGAAATATAACAAAATGTTTTACCATTTTTGGCAATAAAACAGGTGCCAGAAAGGGTAAAAGCTATTGTTTTATATATATACACACACATGAGTTCGCGTCCATGGAACGTGTTGTCGTGAGGCGGTTTACAGACCCGTTAAGAATAACTGAAGCTAAACATTTGCAATAGTGGCAGCGGTCGCGCGGTGGTTAGCGCACCGTCTCGTTCACCTGGCCACCTGAGTTCGATTTCCCAGCCACGGCTAACATCAGTGGCGAGTGATATCCGGGCCGATCCTACGTTCCGCTTCACCAACACGCACTGACCAGCGTGGTGAAGTATGGTCAAATAGCTCCCGTGGCCGTCACGGCGTGAAAAGGTTCTTGATCCAGCAGTAAATTGACCCATGTCTGTGAAATGTGCAAAGTAATAGTTTTTTCTTACGGATACGCGTATGCACGTGTGCGAGTTATTATATCTCACGCAGAAGGCGACGGTGATTTAAGAACAACGTGGAGTTTACCTCGGTATTATATTAAACGATTAAAAGTGAGGCTGTCCGTTTCCTCCCCATGTCTCCCACACCACAACCTGCTCCTCTCACCAATCGCACTTTCACAAACACGCGCACGTGCTTGTGCACACGCACGCACGTGAACACACTCACCTTACCACTCCCACACCCCACGCACTCTCACGCACGTATCCACACTCACACTTGCTCACAGTCACGTGCACACACACACACACCCACACGTGTATGCACAGCCACACACACACCCTCACACACACGCACACATTCATTCGCACACTCACACACCCACACACACCCACGTCCACCCTCACTCGCCTTCACACACACCATCACACACTCTCACAAACCACCCTCGTACACACACTCACACACTCACACACAAACCCCCTTGCACGCACACACACACACCCTCATTCACACACACACCCACACACACACCCTCACACACCCTTGCACACGCGCGCACACCACCACCACACCCCCCCCCCCCCCCCCACAACTTCCTCGCGTGTGTCAGCAGACATTCGCGAGACCGCCTTCGTGTACGCCATCACGTCCGCGGGGGTCACGCACGCGGTGACGCAGGCGTGCAGCATGGGCGAGCTTCCGCAGTGCGGCTGCGCAAACACAAGGAGCCGCGCGCCCCCGGGCCCCCCACCGGCCCAGCACGGCCCCCCCCAACCCAACCATCACGGGGCGCCCCCCACCAACCACCACGGCTCGGAGGGCGAGCGTGACTCCGAGGGCCACCACACGGCGTGGGAGTGGGGGGGCTGCGGGGACGACGTGGAGTTTGGCTACGACAAGTCGCGGCAGTTCATGGACGCGCGGCGCAAGAAGGACGGCAGCGACATCAAGACGCTCATCGACCTCCACAACAACGAGGCCGGCCGCCTGGTGAGTTGATCCCCTTTGTCTGCGCGCGCGCGCGCGGGCCGGGGAGCGGTGGCACCGCGATTAGCGCACCGCGCGATGAACACGACGGCCCTAGACGAGTTTTGATTTCCCCGCCGCGGCTATAGCCAGCGGTGAGTGATATCGGAATCGATTATCGGGTGTTTGCCGACCACCCTTCACCAACACGGACCAAACAGGCGACGTTTCAGGCAATGGTACTTCTTCATAGAATATTAGAATTGTTACTATTTATTTTAGTAGGTAACGCCCACTGAGCTATACAGCTCGTTTTCAGATGCGACCTGGTCTCAAATGATAGCTCAACAAAGTGGTCTGTCACGTGGACACGTTGATTCTAAACGTAGAGGGGAAAAACGGAGGACCCGAAGAAAAATACACGCGACCACGGGGAAAACATGCAAACTCCAAATATACAGCAGTCGTCAGGGTCGGGATCGAACCCATGACCTCCTGTATACCAGGCGAGGTAAGTTAACATCTCCAAGCCACCGTGGCGCCCAGAGATGTAGAGTGGATAACGCTCAGGGCTGGGGACGACACTTTACACCGTGGGGGCCTCGTGAGAATTGCATTGCAATCATGGACAACGGCAACAAGCGGCAATGAGTTTCGACCAAATCCACGTTGGTTTGCATGGCGCGAGTCGCCTACAGGTAGCTGTGTGGGCTCTGAGAGAGTTTCCTCCTCGTGGCTGAGGCATGGGGACCCTGAGCCGGCACCGCTGAAATCCTCCATGGCTTTTGGGTAACCGGGGTTCAGCCGCGCGTGATTAAATCGGGTTTCTCTCGTGCAAAAGGGTTGGTGGTCTCAGACAAGGTCACACAAAAGGGTTGGTGGTCTCAGACAAGGTCACACAAAAGGGTTGGTGGTCTCAGACAAGGTCACACAAAAGGGTTGGTGGTCTAAGACAAGGTCACACAAAAGGGTTGGTGGTCTCAGACAAGGTCACACAAAAGGGTTGGTGGTCTCAGACAAGGTCACACAAAAGGGTTGGTGGTCTCAGACAAGGTCACACAAAAGGGTTGGTGGTCTCAGACAAGGTCACACAAAAGGGTTGGTGGTCTCAGACAAGGTCACACAAAAGGGTTGGTGGTCTCAGACAAGGTCACACAAAAGGGTTGGTGGTCTCAGACAAGGTCACACAAAAAGCTCGCCCATGTTGCATGCGGTTTCTTGCTTAATTCGGGTAAATTTCGATTTAAAGCTTTCGTGACTGCAATGCTTCATCTTCTTTGGTTCTTTCGGTAAAGTCACGTAGAATGAGAATAAAATAATAAATTGATAAAATAAAATGACACAATAATATTCTCACGACGTTTCGGCCACAACACCAAGCGGCCTTCATCAGGTGAAGGGACGAGACTGTCTGGTAGGACAACCTGATGAAGGCCGCTTGTGTTGTGGCCGAAACGTCGTGAGAATATTATTGTGTTATTTTATTTTATCAATGTATTATTTTATTCTCATTCTACGTGACTTTACCGAAAGAACCAAAGAAGATAATTCGGGTAAATTCCCAGCTCAGAAGAATTCGTGTTTAGTTTGATGTGAACCCCTCCCCACGCACCTCCGATTAGCACGGTTGGCTTCGTAGGGTGCGAAACAATTTCAACGTACGTACAGACGTACAATAATTATAATAATAATAATTAATAAAACGGTTTGATTGACAAAAAATATGAAGGCTCTTAGCAGAGAATGTAACTGCATGTCCGAAGTGTGGACGAATATGCCCCTTGATGAAGGGATTCAGAGAGTAGTGCTGTGACGCGACTCTCAGTCACAAGGTGATGCACTCCTTGGCTGAGGGAGCAAAAAAAAAATGAACGGCAGGTGAACAACTCGCCAGGGGCGCATGGGCTGAAGCCACGAGCGGACGACGCTGGCACGAGGCTGCTGATGAGACTCGGAAAGTGGAAACCAGAAAGGCCGACGGATCGATTGACGAACACGTTCCTCGCACAGGATGTATTTGTCGCACGCGGTGAAACAGACTCCCGTGTATGCCGCGATGTGCCGTATTAAATCTTTAATTCCATAACCAAACACGAAGTAATTACAGCAAAGCGTTCCGATACTGAATATCCTACGAGCATTGAATCGATCGACGGACGGGCGGACGGACGATCCGATATGAATGCAGCACCTCGCACGAGGGATCACGGCTGTCTTGTGGGGTTGCAGTGGAGCTTGAGGGAGGGGGGGGGGCGGTATCAGAGGCGAGGGGTGGGGCACGAGAGCGCTGCATTGCTGGGGGCGGGGGTGAGGGGTGAGGGGGGGTGCATGGGTGGGTGGGGGACTTGGGGAGAAGTTCAAATTGTGGACAATGTCTCCCTTCAAAAGGAGCGTCGCCCTAATGAAACGCGCCCGGCGCCCGGCACAATCGCCTCGAGTGTGCGCCACACAAGTGCGGGGTATTGATGTTGTCGGCGCTGTCGTTATTGTTGTTGGTCTATCCTGCCGTTCTGCTCGTAATGGGACTCGCGATATCGACTCGCAGGATGAAGGTCTCCCGGTCAATCCACTGCTGGATGAAGGCCTCCCGCCATGTTGGTGATAGGCATCGTTTGAGCAGACGCAGCCAAACCAGTCAAGGAGCGGGGGGGGGGGGGGGGGGGGGGGGGTGGGGGGGGGGGGCACGAGTGGGGAGCGGTGGTGCAACGGTTAGCGCGCTGCGTTACGAACCAGGCGTCCCTAGTTCGATTCCCGCTCACGGCCAACACCCAGTGACGATTATTTTAATCGGTCCTGGGCCCACCGTAGGTCGCCTCAACCTTAAATAAGTACCCGGTGCGATGTGCAAATATCGCCACTGGGGAGACAAAGGCGGCCGGGCGTGGTGCTGTGCCGTGCTGACCTTCGAAGGTGCTTGCTAACAGCACTTTCCCCAACAGTTTTATTACAGCTACACAGGGTACCTTCGCCTTTAGGGGGAGTAGGACTGGTCCAGATATGACACCTCACTTTTGTGAGTGCGGTACTGGCCAGGAATTCAACTCAGGTTGCCCGGTTTATAGTCACCATTCCGTACGGATAGGTTCGTGAATCATCTCGGTCATCTCACAGCTCTTGGTACACCACCAACCCATGTCTCCATATCTCTGTATTCCAGGTGTGTCACCACACCCTGGCTATATATATATGATAGGTGATCTTTATTTAGTTTCTAAGTAGGAAAATTACGCACCACGTACTTCGATGGCTTCGCATCCCTCCCGTTTGGACTGCTTATTACGATGTGATTTTGCGCTTCAGCGTTTTTGGTTTGTTAACTGGTAGCAAGCTCACTCCACGGAGCATTGAGTCGGTGTTTATCCCCCTTGTACCTTCCCAGACGATGCAAATCGCTCATTGCAGTTGCACTGGCCCAATAACCCAATCCAGGACCCTACTGACAAGGAATGTGGAAAGTCTGGGAGAGGGGAGGCTTTCTCTGTCAACGTACAGGTCATTCCATTCATCTTCTCAGCACACCACCCGGATCGTACCCGGATTGCACTCGGATTGTACCCGGATTGCATCCGGATTGTACCCGGATTGTATCCGGATTGTACCTTGGATTGTATCAGGATTGCATCCGGATTGTACCTGTCAATCGGGTAAGAATCAGACGAACTGGAGACTCGGGGTTGGTGTTGTCTCGTGAAAGCTGAACTGTCTTGGCTTGTGCTTACAAGATCAGTGGTGGTGAATTCATGGAGTTGTCCGAGTTAATGGCGATGTTTAGTTTCATGGATATGTATCTAGCATCGTTCACGCAAACTGAATCTCACGATCGCTAAAGGAACCACAGACGAGCTAGAAAGCAGCAGCAGCGAGGCCGTGATGCGTCGCTAATCAATAATTTGTCACTATCTGCGGTCCCCTATGTATTAAGATGTTTTCAGACAATTCATGTTCCGTCGATGGCATCCGTTGAAGTGGCGTATTCGGCAGCATGATCCTGTTTTAGTTTAATTGGTGAGATGCGTTGTCTTGGGTTAAGTGAGAACACTAGGTGTGTGGGGTTCATTGTTGAAGCTATCGCGGTGTAATTTTGCCGAGTTGAGTCATGTTTGGACTTGGGTTGTATTGACTTTACTGGCAAGTTGAGTCCTGTTGGTTTCTACGATGGGCTGAGCTGTCTCGGTGGAATTGGATATAGTATTTGTATTGGTGTGTATGCATGCTTTGTGTGTACGCTGAACGTAAGTAGTCAACCGTGCCATCGTAAAAATGAGTTGTGTTTAATTATTTGAGCTGTTTATTTTATTGAGTTGTGTCAATGTGATTGGCAATGTCAGATGCGTTGCTTAATTGAGCATTGCTGATGTCATTGATTTATGTTGCATCGATTGGGCGGTGCCAGTTTTAATGGAGTTTACTCAGATTTAGTGATGCTATGCTAATTTTACGCGAGTTCCTTACCACCACCACCACCACCATCATCATCGTCAGCCATGATCTATCCACTGCTGAACGAAGCCCTCCCTCCAGCCGTGGTGATCTCTCACGGTCCAGCGATGCAGAGTTGTGACTTTTGAATTGACGTCTCTGTTGAATTTGCGTTTGTGTCGCATGGCGTTACGTCGTTCTCAATCGAACTTGCGGTCCTGAGGTCTTTAGATTACACACAAAGACAAATATCCCCCCCGTTAAAACCTTAACAGCGATTGTAGAAAGTGCTGTTAGCGAGCACCTATGAAGACCGGCACAGCACACGAGAGGGTGGGTGGCCAGCACCACACCCGACCGCCTTTGACTACCTAGTGGCGATGTTTACACATTGCACCAGGTTCTCATTTAAGGCTGAGTCGACCTCGATGTTGGTGACCGTGAGCAAGGAGTCGAACTCGGGCCGCAGGGTTCGTAGCGCAGCGCGCTAACCGCTGCACCACCGCTCCCCACACACTCGCACACAAACGATATTTCGTTTACATAAACAAACGCCTTACCACCGCAGGCAATCCCACTTTACTGACGCTCCCCACGTGGTATGG